ATACAGGGGGAGCTGATGCAGCTGCTGGAACTACTACTGAACTGTTGTTGCTCCAACTGTTCCAACAGTTGATGGTACAACAGCTGAAGTTGATACGAATGATGACGAGGAGTTGATACGAATGATGACGAGGAGTTGTTCGTTGATGCTGAATATATTCTGGAGTAGTTTTTTTTGTGGTTGTCGAATTGATTTTCTGAACAACGGCCTCTAATAGTCTGCTAGGCTTAACTTTTTTCTTGTTTCGTTAACTGCTTTTTCCTTTAACTGTTCTAACAGTTACTCTATTATGCAGTCTAATGTTTTGTCAGGTATTTGATCAAGGGGGAGGACTTGATTATAATAAATAGATGACAAAGGGGGAGATTGTTAGAATCCGAGAGGATTCTATTTCGGTTTTTCAAGACGTGTACGAAAAACGTGTATAAAAACTAGGGAAGTTTCCTTAGTTCTTTAAACTCTTATTTTGTCATTAATTTATTTAATTACCTTAGTGTTTGATTAACAAGGAATTTATTTGGCTAAGACTTTCCTTGTTGTCATAATTCCTTGTTCCTTACGTGAAGAATTTATCTAACCTAATGGGCTCTAATTTTGTAGGGCTCTACTAATACAACTAAGGAAGTATAAGAAGAGCAGCATCAACGTCGTCATAGGTCGTCCCTTTTATTTTGAGAGAAAAACTTTTTCTGCTCTTGCGTTGCTGCACCTGAGTTGTGATCTTATTCGAGAAGAAAAACACAGCAAACGATTTGCTTCTTTCACGCGAAAAGAAGATCGGTTCTTCGGGAGAAGAACTCAGAAGATCTCGGGAGGAGGTCGATCCGCCGACTGAGGGACTCAGCGTTGAAGAAATTTCAACCGTGCGGAAAGGGACGTGCTGCAAAGTGAAGATTGACAATTCAGCGTAGGATACAAGAACGGCGTCGACAAAGAGGGAGTCTTTGCATTTTCGATTAAGTCCTATTACTGTATTCGTAAAACTAAAAATTAGTGAATTTCATTTGCAGGTCCCCGTGGATGTAGGGTACAATTGTATCCGAACCACTTTAAAATTTGTGTCTTTTTATTACTGTTCCATTAACTGTTGCAACTCTTCGTAAAACAGTAGAACAGTAGCTAAAACTGAATCTGGGATTTATCGGACACAAATTTATAATTAATTTGCACGAAATAATTCTAACATATATTAAAGGGATGAGCTTAGTGGCGAAAGAGATATAACCCCGGAACCTAGAATAATAAAGATGGTTGGTCAAGAACTTATGCGCAAAAAAACTCTTGTGAAATTAATGGGATTGATGTAGGAATGAGAATATATAAGAGCTAGGTTGTGTATTCATTTATAGAGTCAATTACTTATAAATTTATAATTAGGACTAAGAAGTTTTACATTATGAGCAAACAAAAGTCAATTACTCTCTTCATGCCAAAATATATGTTGCTTTGAGTTGTTGCGCATATATTAAGAAAATTAATAAATGCGCGTCGATTTTAGAGAAAAATATATAGAATGACTGAAATATTCATGTTATTAATGTTGTTTCCATTAATTTTCAATCAATTAATGAATAGTTTAAGGGTAAAATTGAGAAAATAGTAATTAATGCATCATTGAAATTCTAAAGTGACAGATAATTTGAAACAAGAAAAATTCCTCAAAGCGACAGTTAATTTGAAACGGAGGGAGTAATTGTTAATTGTAAGAGGTTTGTGTGTGTTTTGATGTTAGAAATACCATGATGTATTTTTCTTTTTAATTCATAAGTGCCATATGACGTTTGGGTGTGTTGAGAAGTCAAAAACCTTTCATTTCTTTTGTCTTCTTTAACCGATCAATTACTAAATAACCCAATTTAGTTTGCTTTGATTAAACACTAATCACTAAATAATAATTGACATTAAAATGGTACATAGTGAGTACGGTTTTCGTGTTCAATTAATGAGTTAAAATAGATATAACTATTTAATGAATAATTCAATTTACTTTTTTGTCATTCATATATTTCATGAAGGGATATTTTTGTAAACACAAAAAGGGAAGAAATCACCAACTACATTCACACTTTTATAAGTATTAAGTATAGAATAGATAGATTATATATATTGGGATAAATAAAATAATTGCAAAGTGTTAGTAGAAGCTAATTATGTCAGAGGAGTTCAATATTTAGGACAAGGTAATTGTTGTTTCTTCTGAATTAACAGATGGACTGTTGTTATAAACTCATAATCAAACTTTTGAAAATGTCTAAATTTGTTGATGAGGGTAAAAAGGTAACCTGGTATGTTATTGTTATCTAGGCCTTTATGACATTCAGATGCCAAACTTACGGTTGGACCTTTGGCTCTGTTGTGCCATTAATATTGGGTGCAAATTTAGACCGGATGGTCTGTTTTAATAGAAAAATCGGATGCCATAGAATGATTGACACGTGGATAGTTTAAATAAAAATATAATTAAGATTCTAATAATTGGAAAAAAAGAAACAGAAACAGAAAAAGAAAAAAGAAAACCCAGCATAACCCGTAACCCGTCTAACCCTAATTATAATAGCGTGATTTATTAAGAGTTATGACTTAAGAGTGCCACATGTCAAAAAATTAGTGGAATCCGATTTATATTAAATATCGACTGATCCGCTCAGAATTTAATCTCATTAATATTTAATATTTATTTTATTTAAATATAGAAAAAAGTGCAAAAAGTCAAATGGACCCAAATGAATGGAATGTCCCACCCACCGCCTAGTATAAAAGACTTTTTAGGGATTGTTTGCCGTCCTCAAAATTGATATTTTAATTTGTTGACCAACAATGCATTAATATTGCAATATTCGAATAATTTGATAATGTAAGTAATGCATGTTTGAATATTGCACATTGAATTAATGTTACTAATTCGAAACCCCCCCCTGAGTATTTGACAAATTGCAGTTCAAAGTGTTAATAAAAACTTGGTGATTTTTTTTGATAATTTGGCAACTTGGTGTTAGCTTTAATTTGCTTCTTGGAAGTTGACTCTCATTGTAGCATCTTGCTTTGACGATTTTTTTTATTGCAAAACTCACAACCAAATAATTTCTATTTATATACAAATTTACTACGAATTTGAATAAGTGTTTAAAAAGAAAAGAAACAAAACAAAGTTGGAGTTGACATTAAGTAAATAATCGTCTAGTGATTTTTATTTAATTTTATTGTTTGCTTGTAAAAGGGTGGAATGGGCTTCTTTTTTTTATTTTTTATTCTTTCTTATTAAAAGGAAATAAAAAAGGAAAGGAATGAGGATGCATAGAATGTGTACGGCCACGTAGACTCTGAAGTTGCCACGTGAGAAGAAGAGAACACGTGTTAGCCGTACGCATGTTGTGCCTCCATTCCATTACACAACAAGCATCCACACATTTGCATAATTAATTACATAAATGCCCTATTTATTTATTTACTCGTTTTATATAAGTGTAAATGACAAAGAGGAATATGATAAGGGACTTAATTGAATATTGGTTCACACAAAAAATAGTCTTTCAAATAAACCCATCCTCATGTCTTTAGTCTAAAATACCCTGTATAATATATTTTTTTATCAATTTCATCTATTATACTCTAACTTTCTCAATACTTGATATCGAATTTAAACAAACATATTACATTCACCCATATTTTAACAACTTTTTGAAAAAAAAAAATTTTGCAGAAAAAAAAAAATGTTCTGAAATTTTTTTTCCAGCATTCACCGGGCGGTTCTTCTGTGTTAACATTTTTGGAAAAAAAAAATTTCTGAATTTTTTTTCCGGGCGGTCTCCAGGTATTGACTTTTTTTTTTAATTTTGTTTTTTACAAGAAAAATTATTGTAATTAATATTACTGTCTTGGCTGCTAAATTACTGTCTCAAACAGTAATATTACTGTTTGGGACAGTAATATTACGAATATTACTTTCCCGGACAGTAATATTACGAATATTACTGTCCCAAACACTAATATTATTGCATGAGATAGTAATATTACGGTTGGAGACAGTAATATTACGGTCGAAGACAGCAAAATTGCAGGCCAGGACAATACATTTAATTAATACATTAAAATTACTGACTCAGACATTTAAATTACTGTTAGAAACAATATTTAGCAGTCAAGACAGTAATATTAATTAAAATTATTTTTTTAAGAAAAAAAGTCAATTAATAGTTAAATATTGTCTTCGACGGTTAAATTACTATTGGAGACAGTAATTTAGCTGCCAAGATAATAATATTAATTAAAATAATTTTTTTATAAAAAAAAAAGTCAATTTACAATTTAATTACTGCCTCCGACAGTTCAATTACTGGTGGAGACAATAATTTAGCAGTCAAGATAGTAGTATTAATTAAAATATTTTTTTAAGAAAAAAAGCAAAATAAAAAAAATAAAAAGAAAAGGTCAATGTTGGAGACCCGGCGGTCAACGGCGGTTGACCTACCGGAAAAAGAAAAGAAAAGAAAAAAGTCAACGTCGGAGACCGACGATTAACGGCGGCTGACCAGTAGTTTCTGGTAGTGGCGGATCAAAATTGGTTAATTGGTTAAATTGGGCAAAATTAAGGTATAAATCTGAAAATTAGAGTTGAATTGGATTTTAAGCAATTGAGGGTAATTTTAGTATACATAAAAAGGTTTTCTTAATTTGTAAATAAGTTTGAATGAGCTGGAAATATTTAAAACACAAAAAAATTGGATTTTTTTTTTTCTTCATTAAATGCCTTGTCATGGGCTTCTTTGCCATTAACCCTCTATATAATTATATAATTTCTGATAATTATGGTCATCAAGGGCCATTCCATGCCATTCCCACTTCATAATTAATGAATTAATTAATTATCTGCTTAATTCTTCATCATTAATTCATCCCTATAAATATGCCCCTCGATTTCATCTAAAATATTCACAACCAACAACAAATCATTATTTATAATCTTATTCATAATTGTACTCATCACATTAATTTGGATCACCATGACTTGTTCTAAATCCTCAATATTATTCATCGTCTTCATCATCCTTTCCCATTTTTCCGTTCAAGTGGTGTCGGTGGTTAAGGAATGCGGCGCCGAAGAAGATGACGGCTGCACAAACAAGAAGAAGGCTTTGCCGCTCAAAATAATCGCCATCGTAACAATCCTAATCAGCAGCATAATCGGAGTCTGCTTGCCACTTGTCACCCAGTCAATTCCGGCTCTCAGCCCGGAGCGAAGCCTCTTCGTCATAGTCAAAGCCTTCGCCTCCGGGATTATTCTAGCGACGGGTTTCATGCACGTGTTGCCCGATTCTTTCGACATGTTGTCCTCCACCTGTTTGGAAGATAACCCGTGGCACAAATTCCCATTCACCGGATTCGTGGCTATGATCTCTGCAATCATTACTCTCATAATCGACTCTATGGCAACAAGCTTCTACTCTAAGAAACACAATTCTGGAGTTGTCAAGCCGGAGTCCGGCGGGGAACCGGTGGAGCTGGCGGTGGTGGAAGCTGGCGGCGGTGGCCATTCTCATTTCCACGGCCACAACCACGGAGCCAAGTTGGAAGTACAGGGTGCCCAACTTCTGCGTTACCGAGTCATTGCCATGGTTAGTATATGTCTATACTAATATAATTGATTAATATTAATTTGGAGTACTATATTTTCACCCAATCTGAATTAAAGAATAGTTATAAAAAAAGAACATATATCGATCGACTAATTGATGAAGAGTGTGTATTAATATAATATTATATTGGCAGGTTTTGGAGCTGGGAATAATAGTACACTCAATAGTGATTGGGTTGTCACTTGGCGCATCTAACAACACATGCTCGATCAAAGGACTTATCGCTGCACTCTGCTTCCATCAAATGTTTGAAGGAATGGGACTCGGTGGCTGCATTCTCCAGGCGGAATACAAGTTCATAAAGAAGGCAGCAATGGCATTCTTCTTCAGTGTGACAACTCCATTTGGAATAGCATTGGGATTGGCATTGGCAAGCACATACAAGGAGAACAGCCCTCGATCGTTGATCACCGTTGGATTGCTTAACGCATCATCTGCAGGGTTGTTGATCTATATGGCTTTGGTCGATCTATTGGCTGCTGATTTTATGGGGCCAAAATTGCAGGGAAGTATCAAACTCCAAGTCAAGTCTTACATAGCTGTTCTACTGGGTGCCGGTGGGATGTCACTCATGGCTAAATGGGCTTAATTAATGATTTTATGTGTTTTGCTAGTTTGTTTAATTCAGATATATGTGCTTCGTGTGATGTTCTTCTTGATTAAGATTCCCTAGATTTCATTGATTCCACTGCAAATGTAAATTTAACTCTTCATGATTATGAAAAAAAAAAAAAAAGGTAACTTCCGGTTCTTGCATGTATATATACTGGAATTTTAGTTGTACGCTATTATTTTTCATCAAGTCGTGATCATCATTTGATCATAAAGCTTATAAGTTCAGCTTTCTATTTCTCGTAATGTAATCGGTTATATATGTTGTGACCGTCTCTAATTTAGATTCCTTACAAATATTATTATTCGTCGATATGTACTCATTATAAAAAATAATCATTTTTAGATATATATTTTTTTAAATACAAATATAAAATATCTATCCAAAGGAAGATAGGCAGACCTCCAACCTATATAATATAAATTCAAGTTGAATATTTCATACCACAACCAAAAGTGACCATACCACAATCCATTTGCCAACATTTCGTAATTAATTCATAATAAAAATAATGTTATCAATAGCCACAAAACAAATTCAAGTTGGCAAATGTATGGACGTACATGTATGTAGTCAACTGTATGTAGTCAACGTGCAACCTCCAAAGATATTTAATTTAAGCTTAAACACGAATTATTTAATCATATCTAACCCCAGTTATTGCAAAGTCAAAAAACTAATTAGCTTGATAATTATTATTATTAAAGCAAATATTATTGCTTTATTCATTGTTATTTGCACTGGGGATTTTAGTTGCTACCTCTCTTTGTTTATGTATGAAAAAATAAAGTCAGGATGATTAATTGAATTGAATTTAGGGGTTTTTGTGCATAAGTCCCCAACATTTAGGGGCTATATCTCTTTCACCAATAAATCCATTACTTTAATATTTATTATAAATAAAAGAAACATTCATGTATATGCCAATATTACCCTCAACCATTTATATATAATTCTTAATTGTAACCCCAATTTAATCAATTTTGTCCACAAAAATCCAATTTTGACCACAAAAATTCAATTTCGCCTTTTTTTGGAGCATACTTTAATATGCTCCAATTTCATTCTTAACTTAATTTAATCTCAATTTGACCCCAAATTTCACAAATTATTCAATTTTGTCCCAAAACTTAAAAAAAAAATTCAAAAAAAAATTTTGCCGCCGGAATCCGGCGTTGACTTTTCAATTTATTTATTTATTTTTTTTCTTTCTTTCAGATTTTTTCGGCGTTGATTTTTTTAGTGTTTTTTTAAGTTTTTTTTTTAACGCCCGCCGCTAGACGTTGACCGTAATTGTGTTGTCACTGACAGTAAATTAATGTAATTATACTGTCAATGACAGTTAATTAACGTAATTGTACTGCCGTTGACAATACATTTATGTAATTATTCTGCCGTTGGCAGTAAATTAACGTAATATTATTATTTTTTATTTTTTGTTATTTGTTTTATTTTGTTTGGTTTGTTGACAAGTCAACGTAATTATAATACTGTCGTTAACAGTAAAATAACTGTAAACACAATAATATTACTGTCAACAACATCAATATTATTATTTTTTTGGGTTTTTTGTTTTGTTTGAGTTATCTACGGAGTAACGTAATAATATTACTGTCTATTATTGTAATATTACTGTAAACACAATAATATTACTGTAGTTGACGGTAATATTACTGTTGTAATAGTAATATCGTTGTCAACCACATCAATATTATTATTTTTTTTTTGATTTTTTTGTTTGTTTGAATTATTCACTGAGTAACGTAACAATATTACTGTCTATTATTGTAATTTTACTGTGGTTGACGGTAATATTACTGTTGTTATAGTAATATTACTGTCACTCACTGTAATATTAATTCTTTTGGCTTTTTATTATGTTTACATTTGTTGAACGGTCAACATTGTAAGATTACTCTATTACACAATAATAATGAGTTTTGTTGTGCTAACACTACCAAAAAACAAGGCTTTTGTGACAGAAATTTAGTGACAAACCTAATCCGTCATAATGAGTGACCAAATTAGTGACCAATTTGTGACTGATTTGAAACAAAAAATAATACAATTTATTGTGACGGGTACGTGATGAATTATGTGACTAATTGCGTGACGACGAATATTCGATCACATTTCGGTCACAGATTTTGAGACGGAAATTTTTTCTGTGATAATAGCCGTCACAAATGGTTTATGGATTTACACTTTAATAAGTATCAGTCTCAGATCGGTCACCAAGTTCTTCTCGTCATAAATGCGTCACATATAATTCGATCACAGATCCGTCATAATTGAAGTCAAGTCACAAATCCATCACATTGTACTTTTCGTCGCAGACGCGTCACATATAATTCGGTCGCAAATTCGTCACATTCTAAATCCCGCCACTAACCCGTCATAATGTCCATTTTGTCACAAATGTGTCACATATAATTCGATCACAAATCGGTCATTTCTAAGTTCCACCATTAATCCGTCACAATGTACTTTTCGTCACATATGTGTCATGTATTATTCGGTCGCAAGTCCGTTACATTTTAATGTTCCGCCATTAATCCGGCACAAAATCAAATTCGTCACAAATGTGAATTACACTAATTTTATTAAACTCTCTTGTACTAGTGTATAAAAAATATATTGTTTAAATCAATATATATATATATATATATATATATATATATATATATATATAT